ACCTTAATTATTGGCCTATGTTAGATCAATACCTGAGTAGGCCACTGTTGTTTGATCTCCTCATTATTTTGTGTACCTATATCCAAAGGCTGGAAAATGTTTCAAATTGGTTTCTGAGAACTTACCTTGCAGAATTAGATTTGCAAAGGGTACTTACGACTTAAGACTTTTAAACCATTCTCATGTGACTCTTAAATATCAACATATTCATTGATTTTACTTTCCTTTTTCACTCACCCCTCATTCCCATTCTATTTCTCTCTTTTTCATATTCTAACAACCTTCCCGTTCAGATTTCCAGGCCAATATATCTTGCCAAATAGCTAAATTAATTAAATGTTTACAAATATATATGTTACCCCAAAGAGCATCAGTTGAAAAAGAAAGAATTTTCTTTCAATGATATTAAAGACACACCTAACAAAACAGATCCTGTTAATTGTAGCAACCGCTACGTATTTTTCTATCAAAGATAACGTAATGAATGTTTCTTTTAACAGTATTTTTCTGTATCAACAGTAATGAAAGGAATATAAGCAGCAATTCTATCATCTGGTAGTTAGTCGATTGGAATTTCAATTTTTCAACCTCTCTGTACTTATCGATAATCGATACAATTTATTATACTTGTTGCCGTGCATTTCTTAACCGCGGGATGTAAATGGTGGCACAAGATATGGCTCTTCAATTCGATTCAATGCAACAGTTCAATGCGATCTACATCTACCGTGACTGCGTAACAAACTTAGTTAGTTATAGGTCTTTTCACAGATTATGGAGTGTACGTCACTACTTACATACAAAATAACTAGATGTGCTTAAGTATCGATATTTTTCCTTAATTCCAACTTGAAATTTTCAAAAATTGACGGTAATAAGCGTACTACTTATTATAATATTATTACCCTTGAAATATTGCATTGAATTTGAAGGTAGAGTAACTATATAAAATAAACTGATCAACACACTTGAAGATTCAAATTTCTTCGTCGTGGATCAGACTTTATTTAACCGTTTAGTATGGGTAATGAACTTTCAGTAACAATGGGATGATTTTTACAATTTTGTGTACTGGCACGTACCATTTAAAGCTTCCTTTTCCGCTGCGAAGAACGCGGCTCGATGAAATCACCACTCAACAGAACTCAAATTGTAAAAACATGTCAAATCCAAATGGACGTACATTTATGTTAAATAATCGCCTTGCCTCGCTGAACAGAACACCCTGTTAAAAATTTAAACGCACCGTTAAATGAAAAGGGCGTGGTACGGTACGGAATCGGTACCGATTTCGATTGGGTACTGTTTTGGATAAAAATTAAATCCTCCGACGACGACGATGTACCTTAGCTCTGGGGCATTTAAAATAATTCATAACTAATGAAATTAATTATTGTAACATAGAATTATAGCAATAAGTGTCAGAACAAGATTTATAGAACATAAAGATCCTAGCCGATGATTATTGTGAAATTGTTGCATCACTGGATCTGACCTTTATAGTTAGAGAGCTAGTACCAATAACAAATACAAATAGTAAATGATCTATCTAAAAATAAAAAATAATATATATATTTTTGATAGTGGTTTTGTTTATAATCCAAAAAATATTATTTGCAGAGTATACAGAGTGATTCAGAGTGAGGAAATTTTATTTGGCAAAAACTCAAAAACCACTCGCTATAAAAATTTTAAATTTGATAAATAGATATCCTCGATATAACAAAATAATGCCATATAAATTATAATTAAAGGACAAGCAAAATTTGACTGTCTCCGCCCCAAAATCAACAAAAAATTTGCATATCTGATATTTAAAAAGAGCTGAAGAAAGTTATTTGGAAAAGGGGCTTTTTGTTTAACAATTTGCCAATTTTAGAATTTAAAAGTAATTTCTTTATGGCAAAATATGAAAAATATTTATTTTTTATAGGTATTTTTCAAATATCATAATAATAATATTTATTTATATCAAATAAATTTACAAAAACAATACATGATGCTTATTAAAAACTATACAGTGAAAGATATAGAAAATAGTTTATTAACATTAATAACCAACTAGTAAATAAAAATAAACAACTGAAATACAAGGCCTAAGCTTTAAGTGTTATAATTTGTTAGTAGGTAGTATGGAATGTATTTTTTTAATTTCCAAAGTAATAATTATAAATAACTTATAACTACATTATTCTGTTTTAAAAATTTAAAACTAGACATTTTTAAACAGTTTGAAAATTCTGGAATTTTTACAACTTTTTTAAATGAATAATTTGTAACGATATTTAAGTTTACAGAATTTATAGCAATATACATGAAGTTACTTTAATAAATAAGAAAAACAAATGTAATTAAAATAGTTATAACTTTGTAGGGATTTATAGACATTATATATTTACTAAAGGCAAGTACACTATTACAGAATCGGGAGTAAGTTTTTCAGGTACCTAATGAACATTTTTTAGGAAAATAAGTAAAGTATGGCGCCAGAGTTTAGAAATGAATAATGAAAATATTTCCTGCAAATTAGAAGAATTACAAAGACTGACTAATTATAAAGATTTAAAATATTTAACTTTTGATTTTCGATAAAAAGAATCTAGTGTAACCAGAATACATTAGTGAGAAAAACAAGTGTTTTAATTTTGGTTAACATAATTAAATTGATATCGAATCGAAGATAAATCGTACTGAAGAAAAGACAAGAAATGTGGCTAATAATACCCATTCATATATTACAAGGCGAACTCGTGTTTATTTTTCCTTAGCTGATTAAATTCAGTGGCGCATCCAGATTTTAAGGCTGTTTAAGTAGGTAGGTTTAAAAATTCTTGGGGAGCGGGATAATTACCCCCATTACGACCTCCCCCGTCTGTATCTGTATCTGTAACGTGTGGAGGAGGGTGGGTTACCACACGGCACTTGGGCCTCATTAGGCCCATTGTGCATGCTCCTGAGATGAAAGGCACCTCCTAGCTCGTAAGCCAGCCTACAGATTTAATGTAGTTGACAACGTCGCCAAGAGGTGCTTCTCTTATATCGGCCGCCGTTAGCTGATACTCGCCGAACACAAATCTTCTAATAAAAGAGAGCGTCGAGGAATCATAAAGGATATGCTCGATGGTCTCATCTTCTTGTTTGCACCCTGACAGCTCCATGATATGGAGATGCTTTCGTACTTGGCAATGACCAGTCAGAATGCATGTGACTAGGCGCAGATTCTGTCTAGTCATAGTCAAGTATTTGTTTGCTGCAATGTTCTCAGGCTAACTTAAGAGATCCCTGGCAACTCTGCAGTTTCTTGTTTTATCCCATTTTTCCTTGAATTGCACAAGGGAATGTTCTTTGATTAGGTCTGTCACTACCGATTTTGTCAGGCCAATAGAAGGGCCAGGTCCAAAAAGTACCTCCCTTGTATGCGCCCCTGGTTAGATTTGGTCAAATTTCACAGCAATGACGAGGAACTGATGAACAATGAGCGACTCTACTTCATAAACTTAGCCAATTGCAAGACAAAATCTTCTAAAACCAGAATTTTTAACGAACAAAACTACCATGGACTCGGGACAGACAGCTTTACATCTCGTCCAGAAGATAGCACACCCCACGCTATACCTTGTAACCATTAATATATCGCCTGTCCGCTGTGGTATGCTATTACGCAAGCAGTTTGTTTTGACGTACGCTGACTGACTTTTATTGAGAGGTCACTCATCTAACTACTAACCTCGCTCGGCCTGGCTCGACTGCAGATATCACACTATTTATTAAATCAATATTATTAATAATACACTAAAATAACATCTAATCTTTTAGGAATTATAAAATTGCAGCCATTATTGGTTATAATGAAACCGTCTATTTAAACATATGAACATTGCAGAGATTTTCGTTTCGTTAAAATCTATTTAAACACATGATCATTGTAGAGACTTTTATCTGAAAATATTTTTAGTATTTTATTTAAACGTTAGAAAATTACCTAGTTTTACATAGCCTTTCTCGAGTAACTAACTCTACTAATTACGAAAAATTTCTTTACGGCAACATGACCATTTAAAAATGACACACCGGCCTTCTCAAGCGAAGCTATACCAAGAGAGGGATTGTCTTTTTGCGCTTCATATGCATTAAATCACGAAAGTTTGTTCTCCGGCGAATAGGTGGCACTGGGTGTATTATTATTTACATATAATATTTATTACTTATTTAAAATACATATATTAAAAAAGGCAACATGACTAAAATGTTACAAATTGAATTTATTGTTAACTGTTTCAATTGGCATATAATTAATAATAAAGGGGCTCAAAATATGGTAAGGAATTTTCCTGCCTCGAAGAAAATAGTCCTTACCTTAGAAACCTTCGGTCCGGAAATTACTCGGCCGCCAGTTTTGTTAACGTGGTTTGCTCTACAACTTTTCGATGCAGCTTTCGAAAAGACTCGGGTAGCTTCAAATGGAGATAACGGACAATTCCAGGAGTCTTCTTGTTATTAGTTGGTTATTTCAAGAAGGTACGTTGTTTACAAAAAAACTAGAGAAACACGTGAAGCAAGTTTTTTTCAATATTCAGAAGCTCGGTTGTATTCAAAATCGGTTCTTTCCTTTCTATAGCAATTTGTTTGCCATATCGAGGTAAATCTATATGCCAAATTTAAAAATTTTATGCCGAGTAGTTGTTGAATTTTGGCCAAATTAAAATTCAGACGAAATCCATAAAACTTCACTGCTTATGAAACCCTAACAAATGAGTTTCGCCGATATTTTCTAAATTTAAAGCTTCTACAAAAAAGTTGAAAATTGACTAAATGGTATTTTGAAAAATATTCGAAAGAAGAGAATAATTATAAAACATTCAAATGGCAAAAATTCGATATTACGTAGCGTAAAAAGGTATAATAATTATTCATTCAAAAATGTTAGCTCGTCGACTATAACTTCCATATTAAGAAGAAAAAATGTAATATTTTATTTACCACAATGAGTTTACCACTCCCTCTGTTATGCAAATATCGATGTTATTCGTGAGATTCTATTATAAAAAAATTGATTACTTTTATTTTGCGTAAGTCAGATCAGGTGCGGAAATTGCATTGTATAGAACTATGAGAACTGATTTGATTCATTCATTTACCCAGATATCGGGAATTTAATGGTTTTACAAAGAAAATGTACGTTATGATTATGATTAGAAAGGTATTTAAGTACAGTGAAAATAAAAAGTATATCTACATGGTGAAATTTGTCATCTTTTAACAAAGATGCGATTCATACATAAAATAAATTGTACAAAAAACAATATAATGAACCAAATCACAGTATTTTTTTATATTAATTTATGTATTTTGTTACAGAACAATCGTAGCCCGGAAGACAGTCGCAGATATTCCTGCGGGAACCTTTACAGTTCCATGAGAAGATCTTCGATGTGTCCAACTAGAATAACCGAAATACCCGTAGAAAATATGGTCAATCAGACGAAATTAGAAACTTTAGAATGGCAATTAAAAGAAGTAAGTACATATTTTACAGCCTTTAACTTAACACAATCTTTCTTTGAACGGTGAGGTAAGAAGACATAAACATTAAACATGTCGTGACAGTTCAGACATCTGTTCATCAGAGAGATGTTACTATGTAAATAATTCGGATAGTATTTCAGGCACACACCAATAACACTGAAATAAATCATATCTTATTTGCAATGTAATATATTCTGCAGTTTTGATTTCTCGATCATAGTTTTTCCCTGAAAGGTGGGAGAATCCAAATTTCAGTGGCCACTCATGGCCTGAGTAATTTTAAATAGGAAGTAGACCTTCCCAAAGATTTAATATGGCATTTTCAGCCTGCAAAAATTTTATTTTGCCCCGTTGCACGGCTGCATATAAAGTGATATTTTTTTGTAACCAGTTGCATTAAGTTGAACATTATGAAATTGGTTTCGAAAAAGTAATTATATTATATATTAAAAATAAACTTTTCTTGGTTTTAAAATCAATAATATTATTGAAAGTTTATATCAAAGAAGGCAGGTTATTGTTTTGGTTCTTACTTTCCATTCTAAATCAGCATAAAATAATAAAAACACAATTCACGACAAAATAACCCACTCTTTTGAAATCTAAACAACTTTAACAAGTAATATAAACGCACTACAATAAGTCGTTGAGAATAAATGAATATAGATTTTCTATTTGGCAATAAAATAATGAATTAAATAATTGATTTATATAAAAAATATTGAAAATATAAAATATTAAAATTATATTTAATATAATTAAACTATAAATATTAAAATAGATTATTCAAATTATTTTACGCAACTAACAATACAAGAAATTAGTAATATTGGTTGCCTAGATGTCAATAATGTTTCATCAAAACACAAATTTATAAATAATCTAGTCAAAATTAAAAAAAATATTGTATATAACACGTTACGAAATGCCGTTTTATGTAACTCGTTCATTTTGCAGGATCTCGCTCTGCTCGTCCCACAAAGATTCAATTGTTACTTCAAATAAGGCATTTCGTAACTAGTTGCACAAATAGCTATTTGATTTTAAATAATGTAATACATTTTCATTTTATATTTATATATAAATTGGTTTTCCCTTGTACTGGGGGCTGTAGTCATACAGCCCTTACGGAGAAGTCTCCACTGACTTCACAAATTTTTCAACAATTTTTGCGATTCATTTACTATTTTTATAAACAGGGCTACCCAACGAAAACAATGCATCCCAATTCAGTATGTACTCCACCCATTAGGTTACTCTGTACACATATTTCGCTAACTTGAATACTTTTCTAACACTTAACTAAAGATTATTTTGAGATAGAAACCTTTGTTTTAGATTCAAAAAAGTCGCGAAATGTACAGGGCCGTGATGAAACAAATCGTAACGTATTTGGAAAAGGCTCATCACAGTCTGGAATTGCTGGGCAGCAGGATTAACCGCAGGAATTCCGTGCATAGGTCGCGAAGCGAGTATCAAATGGAATCGACCAGATTCAGCGATCTTTCGACGTTGTCTTTGGGTAATCAAAGTCACAGCAGAACGTTGGACGAACATAAAATCAAAGATCTTCAATGGTAAGTGCAAAACAACCAAAACTATCGTTCATAAATAAAATAAACAGCACAGGCCTCAGGTGCCATCCCTGAAGTACTGTCTATTATTCACGGGAGACGTTTATTCAACAACATAATTTTTAGGCAACAATCTAAACCCGAAGAACCGTCCCCCGAAGAATTTCCCCCGGAAAAACTGGCCCAAGAAGCATTCAGGCTCCTCCGAACCGCTCAATCACTGTTGAACACTCGAGAGCCTGATCTCGCCCAGATGCCACCCTGCGAACCCGTCAACGACATCGAATTCCTGCAACAGCTCGCCAAAGAGTTCCCGCCGCCCGAAAACAAGCCCCAACGAGCCACGTCTTTCTCTCTTAGCCCCAAACTCATCACTCCCGAGACCGACAACAAGATTGCTACAGCGTTTAACAGGTAAGACGCCACATTTTGACAGCTGGTGCTTTGATAATTTGACTTTTGACAGTTGATGCTTCTATGGTTTGACGTTTTGGGCTTGTTTTTATTATTTTAAAATTAATATTCAATAGTTTGACAACGTTCAAACTTCTTAAACAATTTCAAGTTCAGTAGTTCATATTTAAACTTTTAATCATCTGACGCTAGACTTCACGCTTGACAAATTGACATCTTAAAAATCTCGAAGTGAGTTTTTCATGAACGGCCATCTTGTTTGTTTACAGGAAACTGTCATTGCAACTGAGTGACGTAAGAAGGACGTCACGGTCTTTCAGGAACGTCGATTCTGCTAGATGTTCGGTGGCTGAAAGCGACACGGATGTAGGTAACGATGTCGGAGTGTTTTGTTCTGGAGTCAAAACGAAATCCGAAAAATCAAATTCGCCTAAAAATGGAAGCATCAGTTCTGTAGAGGATGAAAGCGGATTTTCCTCCATGAACTCGTTTCAGGAAATTGGATTGCCACTAGTGAATTCGACGATGACAGAAGAGGTTAGAAACTAACTTATCTAAACTTAACATTTCTTTCGAATCATAAGTCTTCTCAGGCTCTCTTACAGGTCTAGCAGCCTTTTTACAGCCTTTTTTCTTACAGGTATCTACAAAAACCGCCCTTCTACGCAGCATGCTTCACAACAACTCCAATTACAACTCCCTCAATTTTTCTCTGGATCAAGATTCGTTCACGGACTCGTTAAGCAATTCGAGTTGCAGAAACTCCCCGAAAGAAGAGCGCAAACCGACGATAGACAACATAAGGCTGTGGCAGAAACCTGGAAATGTAGCACCATCGATGCCGCCTCTGCTACCTCCACCACCGCAGCATAAAAGATGGAGTTCGACACCCATTAAAGAAGCGGAAAGTCAGAATTTTAAAGTTCTTTGGGTATAAGTGCAGTATTGTTGACGGAAGGATGTTTAATATATTTTGTAAGCCGATTTTTTTTCTATACAGAAGCCATTTTTTATCGAAAAAAAAAATTATATACTTGAATTTTGTTAACGTCATATATCTAACGATTATTGGTATTTGACAGATTCATTGTCTTGTATATCATTGCTAAAAAGCATACTTGTTGCCAATAAACTTGACAGAAACAACACTAAAACACACAAAAAAGAATTAAATAAACAAAATTGTCCAGTTTGTGGCAATATTGCTTTCCAGCATCGATATGGCAGGTCTGCTGTTGTATGTCATATTAAACTGACATCTGACAAATTGACAGTTTCGTTGTCATTTGTCATAGTTGACAAATGACAGCAGTTAAATAAATGTAAAATTGGCAGCGTAAAAAATTGATACTTTTTTCAAAGCCGTAACTAAAAATCTATATATTTTGTTTTTTTTTTTTGTGATAATTTAGCGATCTTATTTTTTTTTGTAATACCTTTGAATATTTGATTTTTTACTAAAATAACGTTTTTGTAATTAATTGATAATTATATTTTATGTAATTGAAATACGGAATATTTACTTTATGATAAAATAAATTATTTAAAGTTTGATTGTTTTTATTTTCCAAGGCGCAAGCTAAAGAAAAGGTTCTCACCTCTCCAGCGATGAGTTCTCACGGGAAAAATGTCGATTTATTTTAAAGTATTTCTTTCACATTTCTCTGGGGGGGAAGGGGCGGTCTCCCGTGGTCGGTGCCTATGAATCCATTACTGAAATAGCTATTAAAAATGAAAAGTGATAATTTGTATCTTGAGAAAGATATCGCTACACGTGGCACTGGCAATCTATCAAAAAACGACAACTAACTTTTGGTTTGAATTACACACAAGATTTTTCTATGATCACATTAATTTAAGAAATAGATGGATTTAAGAAACAAAAACATAGACAGTTTATTTAATAATCAAAACATTTTTTAACTATTATAACTGAAAATATTAAATGGCATGTCATTTGAAGTATTGTGTATAATGTGTTGCATACCTTGTGAGCATCACATTCTTTATAGTAGATAATGTTTATAAATATGATTTAATTTCGCTTAAGATCATCGTATATTGTCAAAATATAATATAAATTAATTTAAATTTCAAATATTTTCCATATCTCAAAGTGGTCCGAAATAGATTAAGTAGAAATGAGGTATCTATATATATAGTGGTAAGACGTCTATTTTGGTATGTAGATACCTAATATTAAGTTATTACAAATTGTACTCAAACATTTAATTTACCTGAAGATGACCTTAAAAGATCGAAAGCGCTTTCAAACTTTATCATTTTTTAAATTGGGTGGTTTTAGAGATATTTTTTTGTGAAATGATAATATTATACCTTTAATTAAACCATTATAGTCAATTTAATACTACGATAACTCAAAGCAGAAATCCGGAAAACTTCTGAAAATATGTTTAACTGTGTTTTCTACTAGAACAAGGACATCTTCATCATTTTTTAAACGGAATAGAAGAGCCAAAGTATAATTTATACGTTATAGAAAAAAAAACTCACCATATATAAAAAGTATGCTGCTTTCTTTTCATCCCACTAACGGCATTATTCGATCCATATCCAGACATTTTCTCACACTCAGGAAATCTTCTGATCCCAGCGACGTCAGTGGATTCCAACATCAACAATCATTATATCATTCCCTACCTCTAATAACAGCCCCTAGATACTCTTACAATTTATTAACAATAAGAAATCAAACACTTTTTCATATTACAGAAGAAAAAACAAGAATTTTAAGTTTTAATCTGTGATTGATTCAAGTAAGTATAATAATAATTATATGAGATATCACCGAGCAGTATTACTGCAGCCTTGTCTATTTAATCCAAGAATTTACATCAGAAATTAATTAAGTTTCCCCCAAAAAACTATAAAACTTTTGTCTGAAACTTTTTTTTCTAAAATGCATATTTTCGGCGGTATTTAACTGTAACACTTTAATTTGAACACCCGGTATATATTCATTCCCAACGAAAATACTGAAAAATTACTATACAATAACTATACATTAAAAATTGATCAGTGCCATCTTTCCGAAAAATGTGGAAAGGTAAATTAAAGAATATATGTGCCACTATTTTTAGTTTTCTTTTTCCCGCAGTCTCTATATCTATCCAAAGAGTACAAATAACAAGAGAGATCCAGTCATAGTGAGAAACTAAATGCCATAAATTATCCTTCCTCCATGGGGATGTCATAGGTGGTGGCTGAGTATTTAAGTAGTATAGGCATTGTATTTAGATCAAGTAGTAGAACCTTCGAGCTGAAATATTTATGCTCGAAGAGTAGAACAATGCCAATGCAAATTATCTTGGACGACAATGAACAGTATCAATAGATGGCAGCAAGCTCCGTGGTGTCCAAGTCATGTCTTTGATAATTTTGTCGTCTTTTACCGAGCCATCGAACGATTGTCGAAACTGAATAACGAACGTAATTTCTCTATTTACTAATAGATGGAACGATAGTCGATTCAGAATATTTGTTTTAAAAATGAGATAGGTATACGAACATTTATTTACGATTTATCATCATTTTAGAGAATATAAACGATATTAATTTAAATTTGGCAGATGGCAAATGAAATTAAAAATTAAGAAAACTTTATGTATATAAAAGATCAGGAGTGCCTAGCACACGAGCCATTTTGAAGAAGTTCTGTACAGTTATAACAGATGTCGCGACATGATTTGTTAACCAGTATTAATAATTGATTGAGCCTTTGTAATTTTATTTAGTTATTGCTACTTTTTTTATTAATAAAATTGAAAAAATATATGTTAGATGAAGTGGAATGTGATACATTTATAAAAATATCGTACGTCCATGGTGTTATCGAACCCAGTGGCGTATCCAGATATTGTTCTTGGGGGGGATAACAAAATTGAACACATTTTTATTATAAATTTGAATATTCTATTTTATATAACAAAATCTAGTCCCCTAGTCCAGGAGTTGAACCATATTACCATTTTTATAGTGCCGCGAAAACTCCTCACAATAATTTTGAGACAATTTGAATGTTTACTTTTAACACATGTCATAATGTATTTGATTTAGTAATTATTATAAAGCTCTCACTCTTATTTTTTCTTATGATCACATCACTTTGATTATGTGTTTGAGCTTACGGATGTGCAGGGACTTCCTGGGGCGGGGATATATCCCCATTATCCCCCCGTGAATACGCCACTGATCGAACCATCCATATTCCAGTTCAGTAGTCCAGATCAGTCTGCAGGCAGTATCAGTTAGAAAAACGTAAAATTTATAGTAAATTTTCATTCATGGAGAGTCTTTTGTTTTACTCCCTTAAGACCAGTCTCGGATTGTAACCTCCAGAGGCGCTATTTTCAAACTCGAGAGAATTCATTTTCCTCAAGAGGAATGTTATACGTCAACGTAAAACGATATTTTTAGGGCTCTTAGGGTCAGTGTGAACTCACCGACTGTTTCTTTCGGTTTATTTAGAGATAATTAAAAATATCGATCCAAACAGCGTTTCTACATGGACATATGACATTTCTGATAAGAATCTTAAGAGAAATGAGTGCTACCATACTTTTAAAATGGCCCGTTTAGGAGGGCGAAGGGCCTCTTTTTTCATGGTCCGAATCATTGAAAAAAAAAATCATTTGTACACTGATTTTCCGAGATTGTCACGTTTTACTAGGTTTATTCGCATATGATTCTTTGTTCTTCTCAAGGGCCCACTGCCTGAACGAGGGCCTACATTAGGACCGGTAGACCGACGGCCCAATCCGACACTGCTTGAGACAAAGTTATTTTAACGAGCTCGATGTTGCTTTATGTCAAAAAAAGAAAAACAAAATTCAGCACAGACATCGAACTAAAATGAATATCTCAAAAAAATAATTTATGTAGTTTCAACTTTTTTTGTGTAGAGTTTATTGAATTATTGTTTTTTTAATCATTTTGGGAGCTTTTATAATATATTGGAAACGATTATATATCATGAATTAAGGAGGGTTTTAAAATTGTATTTTAACTTCACGCTATTATTTAATGGTTTTTTTTTTTTATTTTGACAGAATAGGTTAATTCTTCAAAGACAATTTATTAGAGTTAGGCAACTTCTCATACATTTTCCCGTAAATACTGTTGCCTGCTTATATTTTATTATTGATTTTAATTAAATATACTTACTTTTTTTACTTTCCTATCTGTATACAGATATAAGGAAAGTATAGGAATCATGATTTTTTTCGACCTCGAGTTTTCGACGGATTTTTACGTTTTGAGGTCCCCTGAATCCGTTTTGACTATTTTCGCGATGATGTCTGTGTGTGTGTGTGTGTCTGTGTGTGTGTGTGTGTGTGTGTCTGTATAACGCATAACTCATGAACCGATACACGGAAAAACACCAAATTTCAAACTTCAAGCTTTGTTCCAGCGTCTAATGAGCTGATTAGATTTTGGGCAGAGTCGGAACATCTGGGGGGGTACTTTATAGGTGGTCATTTTTATATTTTATGGAATATATCTGTTATTTACGTTTGGGGAAGAAAATTCTTCAAATGAAAGTTACTTCTTATTTTATTATCTATAATTTTTGTTATATACAAAATTTTCCTAAAATGGTCCGTATTCGCGAAATTTGACAAAATGTAAAAAAATATTTTTTTTTATAAAAATTGTTCAAACAAAAGTTGTTTGTAATATAATTCTCTATAATTTTTATTCTATAGATAATTTCTCTAAAATGGACCGTATTCGAGATATTTGAGAAAATGTGTAAATTTCGAAATTTGAAGAAAACTCAAAAACGGATAAAGAAAAAAACATTAAATTTTAAACTTAAGTTTTATTTCGGCCTGACGTGAAATGATTAGATTTTGGACAAAGTCGGAACATCTGGGGGGGTACTTTATGGGAGGCCGTTTCTATATTTTATGGAATATATCTGTTATTTATGTTTGGAGAAAAAAATTGTTCAAATAAAAGTTACTTCTAATATTATTATCTATAATTTTTGCTTTATGTAAAAATTTCCTGAAATGGTCCGTATTCGAAAAATTTGACAAAATGTGCAAAATTCTGATTTTTATGAAAATTGTTGAAATAAAAGTTGTTTGCGATATCGATCTCTATAATATTTGTTCATACATGATTTCTTTAAAATGGACCGTAATGGAAAAATTGTAGGAAAAGTGCTAAATTTAAATTTTTCAGTATTTTCATTTTCAATGAATATCTATAGAAAAACGTTTCGCGGTAGATGTATGTGGACAATGTATATATTTAGTTTATCCTCTAAACATTTATAGAGATGCTGCAATAGGTTGTACAAAATAACCGGAAAAAGCCTGTAATAACTAGATAGGAAAGTCATGTGTTGGACACATCAGATTTTTTAGTTTA